CGGTCGGTCCGGTCTGGTGCCGCAGGGCCGGGCCCGGCGGGCCCCGGGGCCGCTGGTGACCCCGCAGCAGGCCTCCGGCGGCGGGCTGACACGCGAGCGGGCTCGGAGGCGTCTTCGTCAGCCGCCGGGCGCTTTCCTTTGGAGAGGAGCTGCAGCAGGTCGCTAAACTTTGCGGGGAGGATTTGCGTGTGCCCTTGCGGGCTCCCGCTGAACGGGTTGCCGGCTGGGGTGGAAGTTTCCGCCCGGGCTATCGGGTGACATGCCCTCCCGAGAGAGAGCACAGGGGAGGTGGCCTCGAGTGCGGGCAGGCTGGTCACGGCCGGGCTCTAGCGAGCGAGTGGAATAGCGATGGCCGGGAGATGGGGAAACACGCGTAGGTCTCTAGATGCGCGCAGTAATGCGCTCCCTGCGCGCGAGTCCTGCGAGCTGTACGAGAATAAGTTTTATTTTTTGATGTTGAGACGTTATTAAGAGCTTAGGCGATACTTTCTGGAAATACAGATGTTATTTTTTATTTTTTTAACACACTTCGGTTAAGTGTTGGTGGTGTTTCACATGTGGCATTTCCCTACTTGTCTCTTATTCCATGATTGCTCTTCTGTCAAATGTCTGCAAGATGTATTTCCTGGCCTAAGCGGTCTGTGCATCTTATCCATCAAGTTCCCGTTCAAACTATTGGTATAATCAAAGTAGCGTTAACTTTGGTGCGATAGGAAACGTTTATTGACACACAGGTGCAATTCCAGAAGAATCACAGATTTTAAGACAGTGGAGGGCTGACTTGGAGAGTCTGCTGTATGTATATATGATGTAGCGTGTCTTCTCTGACTTCCCACTGTAGAAGTAGATCCTCTTTTAGTTTTGTAAAACTGCTTCCTGTCTGAAGTAACTTGGTGGAGGACACTCACTACTTAAGTGACACAGAGTAGAAGACATTAAGGGGCTAACGGCACCTAGGACCCTAGTCAGGCTGATCAAGTAAAAATCCTGATAAAATAAGTGTGACTTGCAGGGCAGCCTGGTTTCAAATGGGAAAACAGTTTTTAGCTTATTCTCTGGAATAAGAGAATTGAGAAATAACTTTAGAAAGGAGAAGATGTAAGTTTTATCTCCTTTGATCAAAACCGACTGAGGTCAACGTTGCCATGCCTGTTTACAGAACTTGTCAATACCAAGGGAGGAAAATGGGTAAATATAGTTGTCATTTAATCTCTTGCAGGAGATCAGTGCCTGCACTTACTTCAGACTAATTAGCATGGGATTAATGGATCATCCCTCTAGTATCCAAATAAGCACAGCAAACTTTGATTGCCCTTGATGATTCATGCTTGTCAAGACAGCTGTAGTTTTTTTAAGTACTAACTGTACCCCACAGCTGGTTTGACTATGGTGTCGCAAGCTCCTCCTGGACGGATCGTAATTAGTCAGGCGGGTGCGGAGCCAGTGGTGGGTTGCGTGGGTTGTCTGTGGCCCCGGCAGCCACCCTGCTACTGCAGCTTTGGGGAGCTGACGTGTCGAGTGGGCAACAGCTGCTTACATGCTCTAAGTGTTACTTCTGCTTAAAAATATGCTGGGGTTGGTGTCCTCAGATCGGTAATTTTAATTGGTAATGCAGTAGCCATTGGGTGGCTTATAAACCCAGTGTAGAAGGCTCCTTGGATTTGGTCCTAGGTTTAGTTTACGATTGTGTTAAAAGTTTTTTGCCGCACCCTGAAATGTACCCAAGTATGAGTTTCATCCTCCCACAGCTTATCTACTTCCCTTCTGGTATAAACTGTGAGCCTTTGACTTAAATGGATACTGGCAGGTTGACACAGTCTTCTGATACTAAATTTGCTCTAAGTTTTATGATTGGTTTCTATTGCATTCTTGTATTGTAATAATTTTCCCCCGCTCTCCTTTGCTACTCTACAACAGAGGGAAGAAACTTTGATCACACTAGGCACTGGCAGATAGAGACAAAACCCATGAAAATATACTAATTCAATTTGCTTTACATGCAGTGTCAACTGAGGCTGTGATAGATTTAAAAAAAGTGTGTTTAATCTTGTTAACATGGTATCTCAGATCTTAACGCTTTGAGGAAGTTAACTAAAGACTTAACTAGTGACTAGCTTGCATGTGAGTACTTTTTCAAGCCTCTATTAATTTCTTCCTTAAAATTGTTTCTGAAGCTCTTAATTTGTCCATATAAATTATCTTCTCCACATCTGTTGGGAGTCTATACCTGTCTTTATGCTTTCTCCCTTGCTTTTCTTTTTAGAAGATAGCCTAAAGCTTTCCTCACTCCTTTCTTTGTGTAGGAATTTTAAATTGGCTGAAATTGTGCTGTAGGGGAAAAGTATTTCACTATTAACAAAAATTATATGTTCATGATGTAAAGGAAATGACAAAACTGTTTTAGCTTAGATCCAATACGGAAATATGTTTTTAATTTAGTTTAGAATAAAAATATCCCTTACCTGTTTCCAGATAATATCAATTTTCAGATAGAAATTGGGGATGTGTGTCCTAAGTATGCCAAGAGTGACAATCATTAACATCTGAACTTTAAGCCTATAGTGAAAACAATGAAAAATGTGGCTTGTATGGCTATTGGCTAGTTCTAGAAATGGTGGTAGGAATATGTTTATCTTCACATTATATAAAAATACATAATACATAAATGGTTGCATTCCATCTCAGGACTCTGTGAAGTACATAACCACAGTCATGAATAAATGTCACTAAAATTGTGAAGATTAATTATGGCACTAACTTATGTATGCTTTAGGGAACACTTTTTTTTTTTTTTTTTTACCTGGACAAGCAGCTGGAAGGCTGAGCCACTTGGAGCACCTCCATTTGCAACCTCAGAAAGCTACTTGAGATTTCTTTCTGCCCTGTCAGAAAGTCGAAGTACACCTAAAAGGATACTGCACCGAATGATCAATTACATCTCATACATATTTATTTGACTTCCGTAGGGCCCCCAGCAAGTCTTTTCCAGCCACCGCGTCGCCCAGGCCTGGGAACTGTTGGGAAACCCATCCGCCTCCTAGCCAATCATTTTCAGGTTCAGATCCCCAAGATTGATGTTTATCACTATGATGTAGATATCAAACCAGAAAAACGCCCCCGAAGAGTGAACAGGTATGAGTTGTTTAATTAAAAAAAATTAAAAAGTGTATATGCCTCAATTTAAGAAAACTGTACATCCTAGAAATTCTTCATCTGCTAAAGGCCAGTTTATGTTTGTACTATGGTTAGCAGTTGCTTTTCAGTGAACTATAATATAATATTCTCCTTATTTTTATTAAGATGTTTTGCAATTGGCCTGTAATCTGGAAGGCTCTAGGAAATGTACTAAGTGTTGAACGACAGCTGTTCTTATTTAACAGTCTACAAGTGAATGTTGCTGATAATTGTTCCACAGTCTATTATACAAATGTGTGTTAGCAGCTGAGAGGAGGGAATTCAGCTTGCAGATTGACGCCGTTGTAGGGTCCACACGTGGATGCTTTGTCAGTAGAATCAATCCACAGAGCACCCCCACTTACCCCCAAAGTAGATGCTTGTATTTGCTCCTGTGTTTGAACAGCTCCCCAGATTCCACTGTCTGTTCTGACTGTATCTCTGCTGACAGTATGGATACCTGCCTTGCGTATAGACACCTGTATGTTGAAACTTGGGTGTCTTAATCTGGAGGTGACTTTTGAAACTCCTGGTGTTGACTTGTTTCTTGTACCTTGCTCATTTAAGAAAACATGAAAAAGGGATTTTAAACGGTGTAAGGCCATTGCTGTATTTTCTGTTCTTCAACCTAACTCGATAAATCCCTCTGTAGAGAGGTGGTGGATACTATGGTGAGACACTTCAAGATGCAGATATTTGGAGATCGGCAACCTGGATATGATGGGAAACGCAACATGTATACTGCACACCCATTACCTATTGGCCGGGATAGAGTAAGTGTTACTATAAGCAGTTTTAAGTTTCAGTGGGAAAGCTGTTACAGTGTCATTTGAAAAGTGTTCTTTTATTGACGTAAACCCAAAATGCTGTCACACCTATTAGTATAGTCTTGGAAATGACAGGCAGTGCCAGTCAGGGATCTCTAGGAACTTATTGGTGTTTTACTGAAGTTTGTTGTCTTCAGGTTTCTAATTCCCAGCTCTTCAGTTGGAGAATTTGTCAGTGCTAGTGCAAACTAATGTGTTGTGCTCTTTCAGCTGCAAGTAGATTTTGGTTTGGTTTTTTTTTTCCCCCGCCCTGATAGAAACTTCGCTTTTCTCTGTTCTAACCCTTGTTCTGTTGCTAAATGATAAAGTAGTTGCAGATGACAAATACGCTGGTTTGGTTTGGCTGCACTGTTAAGATACATCCTCCTGTTCCATAAGAACAACTAGATTAACTGCACTGGCCCTTCATGTTCTGGGCTGTGCTTGCCAGCACCCTTGCTCTAACAGACTGCAATCTGTATTAACCAGCCCTGGTACAAAACTTAACCCCTATCTACTCCTCTCCCCTGGGATCTGGTTATTGCTGGTACAGTGCCATGAGGAATATGTAGGATGAGTTCACATTTACCCTTTGGGCTGACGGTGTGTGACAGTAATCTCAAGTACCGTGCTAGAACTCTGAGATTTGTGTTTCCCAGTGAGTCGTCTTTTTGACCAAAAGGTTTTCTTGCCTTCCCATTTGGTTCACAAGACATCCTGCTATTAATTGGCTGACTTAAAAAAAATGACTCACAGTTCTCCAGAGCTTTGATGTCACCATACTAATTACTGCTTAAAATTTACACTTAAAGATACCTCAGTGCAGTTTCTCAGATGAATAAATTACAAGCTTTCCAAATCCTAAGGAAACCGATTGTAATATTTTAAGAGAATTACACAAACAAATTGTCAAAAATTTAGATTCAAAGGATACCTAGGAGAAAAACATAACCTTGCTTAGTGTTGTGATAGTCTGCAATACCTGACAAAAGCTTGTGCTTAATTCTGTTCTGACTACATCAGGTGGATATGGAGGTGACACTTCCAGGAGAGGGGAAGGACCAGACATTTAAAGTATCCATTCAGTGGGTATCAGTCGTCAGCCTTCAGTTGCTGCTGGAAGCTCTGGCAGGGCACTTGAATGAAGTTCCTGAAGATTCTGTACAGGCGCTTGACGTAATCACACGGCACCTTCCCTCCATGAGGTGGGTACTTTTGGTGCCTTCCTGACTGGCTTAATCTTGTATCTGTCTTAACGTTTGTATTACGTTATTACTTGCTGCTATACTACTGCTATTACACTTTCCTACAGTAGAAGGGATAAGGGATGCATTTGCGTAATTCAATGCCTCCCTTACAGATTTGCACTAGAATAGGGAAATCTGATCTGAACTCAGGACATGTATCGGCTGGTCATGTTTCTAACGGGAATTTGCTATAGTCTTTCCAACTGCACTGTTGGTAAAGCTTTGTATGTTTGCCATAAGTTAGGTCTAACAGTTCTAATGTACTGTAGAAATGTGTTTGAAACACTATAGGCATGAATGCAAAAAGGTTTATCAGAAAGGAATGATGGAAGTATTAATTTTCTTTTCTTTTCTTTTTTTTTTCTCCAGGTACACTCCTGTGGGTCGCTCCTTTTTCTCCCCCCCTGAAGGTTATTACCACCCTCTGGGTGGTGGCAGGGAGGTCTGGTTTGGTTTCCACCAGTCGGTCAGGCCTGCCATGTGGAACATGATGCTCAACATTGATGGTATGTAGGAAATTCTGTCTCACTAATGTAACAGAGTTCTTTCTGCTTCTAAATTAAATGTCCTCTTTTTTTATCTTAGTGTCAGCAACTGCTTTCTATCGTGCCCAGCCTATCATTGAGTTCATGTGCGAGGTCTTGGACATTCAGAACATAAATGAACAAACTAAGCCTCTTACGGACTCGCAGCGTGTCAAGTTTACCAAAGAAATCAGAGGTAAAGGCTTGTTCTAAAGCTGCTGCAACAAAATACTGGACACCTGCTCATGTTACGTTGTAATGAAAATTTGCAAGGTGCTTGGGAAGCTGGCCTATTCCTTTTTCCCTTCACCTTTCTCAAAGGTGACTCCTATGGCTGAATTTATTTAGGTGACTTTTGTGTTGGGTTTTCAGGTCTAAAAGTAGAGGTTACCCACTGTGGCCAGATGAAGAGAAAATACCGAGTTTGCAATGTTACTCGGCGACCAGCCAGTCATCAGACGTATGTATACAAGCACCTTCTGACAATTTTTAAAATCTTGAACCTATTAGATATACTAGGTATATTGTTTATGCAAGAGTAGTTGATTCTGGAGGTGAAGCAGCTGTGTGGCTTTACAAGAATGTTTAGTCTTAGTGGAGTAGAGGAGCAGTGTGGGTTTAGACCACTGCTTTATTTCCTTCAATACAGGAAAATTGAAGCTGTATCCTGGCTTTTAAATACAGTTATGAAAGGCTATAATTTTTAAAATAGCTATGAAAGATTCAGTATACAGTCTATAAAATCTTTTCATAAAGAAGAGATCCAGTGGCTAAGGAAAATGTGTTTCCAGCATTTCTAGTGTGGAATAGATTTTTCCATACCCTTTTTTCCTTTTTAAAAAAAAAAAATAAATAAAAATCTTGAAAAGTCTAACTAGAACAAATGTCCTTTATAGGTTTCCTCTGCAGCTGGAAAATGGGCAGGCTATGGAGTGTACAGTAGCTCAGTATTTTAAGCAGAAGTACAGTCTGCAGCTAAAATATCCTCACCTTCCCTGTCTCCAAGTAGGACAGGAGCAGAAACACACATACTTACCACTTGAGGTAAGAATCTAACTTTCTCTTGCATTGCGGTGTATCCTCTGTTAAACAGTATCACACCACCTCTCCCTGTTTCTGTGTAGGTGTGTAACATAGTGGCAGGCCAGAGATGTATAAAGAAGCTAACGGACAATCAGACATCGACTATGATAAAAGCAACTGCAAGATCAGCACCGGACCGACAGGAAGAAATCAGCAGACTAGTAAGTGTTTTTTCCAGCTAAACAGTCTGTGCTTGCCACTTCTTATGGCTCTTCCAGAAGCATTGTAGCTTATGTATGATAAGCAGAATGACCAAGAACTGCAGAAGTTTAAAAATCCGACTTCTTTAAAACAAATCCTTTTAAATAGACAGCCTATTCATAGCAAAGAGGAGAGAGCCACGTGAAGCATTAGGTGTAGTTACACAAGTACTTTTCATGTCGCCAGGTGAAAAGTAACAGTATGGTTGGTGGACCTGATCCATATCTGAAGGAGTTTGGTATTGTTGTCCATAATGAAATGACGGAGTTGACAGGCAGAGTTTTGCCAGCACCAATGCTGCAATATGGAGGCAGGGTGAGTTTTCCATGCCTTGTAAAATACCTTGTCCTGAGCTTATTTAAATTCATATAAGTGTTTTGTATATCTTCTCATAAGGCTTCCTTTGTATGAACACTGTTCAGCTACAGTCAAAACAAAGCAGCATTTTATTTTTAATTTGCCTTTGGTTTTTACCTAGAACAAGACTGTGGCCACACCAAACCAAGGTGTGTGGGACATGAGAGGGAAACAGTTCTATGCTGGCATTGAGATTAAAGTTTGGGCTGTTGCCTGTTTTGCTCCTCAAAAACAATGCAGGGAAGACTTACTAAAGTAAGTATTTTCCTATTTATTCAGGATGCCCATTTCAAGGTTTATTTTCCTCATGTTTCTGACAGGTGATATGCAGTATAAGTTGATTTTAATGCATCTAATAGTAAAAAGAGGAAACAACAGTTCTGCAATTTCTTAAATATTTACAACTTGGGAGGAGACTATGACAAAGTTCATAACCTAATTGGCCAGCTAGGAAAAACATTAATTCCGTTACCACTGAGGCTGTTTTTCCTGCTCTGGAGGCTGCATTCCACTTGTATTCTGTTGTTTTTACAAATAACTGATGATGGTCTTTCATTCTAAAACCTGAACTATTTTTTTTCTTAACCTTTACTGCCTCCCAGGCAACATACACCACATTTTTTTCCCCTGTCCTTCAAATTACTCTACAGAATCCTAAAGACAGAGGTTGTGTGAACCACTGAAATGTTTGGCAAAAATCATGGTTGCAATAATGCTCAGGTAAGTTTGACAAATGAGTAAAAATCTACCGGAACATCAATATTAGTTTGGGAATCCGCCTCAGAATGTTCAATTCAAATGTATTTTTGTTTCTGCAAGACTTCTAAAAGTACAGAAACAGAGGCTTATGAAACTTCCTCAGTCAGGATTAGAATCGTATTAGTGAGTTTCTTATAGTGATCGAATTGCTAAAAAATAATTACTGTAGTGTCAAATTGGAAGTGCTGTGAAATATCTGAAATAGCTTTAGATCTTGTTGATAAACTTAATGGCAAAGTGAAGCATAGTGAAAAGGCCTGGACAAATCCATTTATATGTCATTTTCAGGAGTTTTACTGACCAGCTGCGCAAGATCTCGAAGGATGCAGGGATGCCGATCCAAGGCCAGCCCTGTTTCTGCAAATACGCCCAGGGTGCAGACAGCGTGGAGCCCATGTTTAAACACTTAAAACTGACTTACGTTGGTCTGCAGCTGATCGTGGTGATTCTACCTGGAAAGACGCCTGTTTACGGTATGGAGAAGAGGCTGTAAAGTGTTAATTACATGCCCACTTGCTGTACAACTTTTTATGCGCTTTGGCAGTATGAAAGAGGCAGAGCAGGCAATACGTTCTATTTAAAAGGGGTTTTTGGAGATGGGTTTGTCAGGCCTGACTGGAGTACTTGTATCTTACCAAAGAGCGAACTGAACCTTTGTCAGTGAACTTTTAAGGATCTGAATTATGATAACATCTGGAGGAAAAAAAAAAAAAAGAGAGAAAGCAGAGGGAGCTACTGACTGTTCACATAATTGGAACCACTAACTTATTTTTCTGTCACAGCTGAAGTAAAGCGAGTTGGTGACACTCTTCTAGGAATGGCCACTCAGTGTGTTCAGGTAAAGAATGTGGTAAAAACCTCACCACAAACACTGTCCAACCTGTGTCTGAAGATAAATGCAAAGCTTGGAGGAATCAACAATGTGCTGGTACCTCATCAAAGGTGAGATTAAATCTAAAGCTCTCCTTGAAGTCTGGATTGTCAAGCAAAACGGTGTAATTTTGTTTTGTTTGCTAAAATGATACCTTTCAAAATATTATGTGCTTTAGAAATAACCACAGTCTGAAGTGGACAGAGAAGGATGCTTCTGCATTCAGAGTCTGCCTAGTAAGCCCTGTGATAAGGGTCATCTCTAGTGTTGGAGCCATCCAGCAGTATGTGTGAAAACAAGCTCAAACAGGCTTTTTTTCCCATGTCTCTCTCTCCTGCCTTTTGGGTTCGCTCAGTCTACCTTTTTGTCTTGCCACCTCCTTAAACATACTGTATCTCCTTCCAAATTGAAAGAAAAGGAGTGAGGAGGAGTGACTTGTGATAAATGCTTGTAACTTTGTCTGCCTTTGGTCCTTTTCACTTTGTTCCTTCTGGACTGTAAGAGCTTGAGGCAGAGAACTTCATCCTTAAAGATTCTGACAGGGTTTTAGTTCTGTTGAATGGTTTGGATAGACCTTCTCCGGTTGTAATATTTTTTTTCCTTCCTCACCCCCCTTCTTTGTATTATTATTGTTATTATTTATTATTTGATAAACCTTAATCATATTAAACAGGCCATCGGTGTTCCAGCAGCCAGTGATCTTTTTGGGAGCAGATGTCACTCACCCTCCTGCTGGGGATGGAAAGAAGCCATCCATTGCTGCTGTGGTAGGCAGTATGGACGGCCATCCTAGCCGTTACTGTGCTACGGTGCGTGTGCAGACCTCCCGCCAGGAGACCTCCCAGGAGTTGCTGTACAGTCAGGAGGTGATACAGGACCTGACTAATATGGTGCGAGAACTATTGATCCAGTTTTACAAATCCACTCGTTTCAAGCCCACAAGGATCATTTACTACCGAGGGGGAGTATCAGAAGGACAGATGAAGCAGGTATTGTCTGATGATTTCTTGTTGCTTGTGAAAAAGGATTGGCCCTTAGGAAAAATAAAAACAAAACATATATGTGGGTTGCATTTGTTACGGGACAATTAATGGTTTCATTGAGTTTTCCTGGGCAAGCACGATGTACAGTTACCCTGTCTGATCATGTTCCTTACAAAGTGGCATTTGTACACAGAAAAAATGAAGATAGTATTATATGTACTGAATTCAGCACCTAATAGTTAAATCTTCTACTTCTAGGTAGCTTGGCCAGAACTGATAGCAATCCGGAAGGCCTGTATTAGTTTGGAAGAAGATTATAGACCAGGAATAACCTACATTGTCGTGCAGAAAAGGCATCACACCAGACTATTCTGTGCTGACAAAACTGAAAGGGCAAGTAATGTTGACTACATAAGAAGGAGGTGATGGCAACAGGAAAGTAAGATTGTTTAGTTAAGTGGGGTGGTATCCATCTTGTCCGCTAAAATTGAATTAATCTGTACAAGCAGTAGCAGTTCTCTGCAGTTAACAGGCTTTCTCTACCAAAATAACCAGTTCCTCCCCTTTCTTATTGCTCTAGATCAAGCGATCAGATGGAACAGCTTGTTCCCATCCACTTTTGGAGTAGGCGTACTCTATATCCCTGTACTTGTGTACCTGGAGCTGTAGCCTGGATTTTTATAATCTGGGATTCCTGACTATAAACTGAACTAGTTGTTCTGTTTGTTGCCTGTTCTGTCTCTAGATGCACCTGTAAGGCTTGCTTATGGTACCAACTCACAAGCCAACTAAGGAAGCTTCTTTAGGAAAGTTCTTGATCTCAGGTTTCCTTAAAAAAACACAGATCTCTGGGCTGTGAGTGCAAACAAGGGTATGAAATAAATTTATTCTAGAAAACCTGCATTTTCACATCCTGAATTACTTGTGTAGGCTTTATCCCACTCTGCAATTTTAATGGTACTGGCAAGTGTTTTATTTTCTCTGATGACACACCAGTTGGATTTGGTGAAGTTTCTAAAAATGAACTCAAAGAGAACATTTTCATTCCTCCTATGTAAATGACCTTAATATTTTTCCACCTTTTTGAGCAGTAAATTCTCAAACAGCTTTAAGTAGAGCCTACCTTAGGAGGTATTTTTGGGTCACTTCCAAAAAAAACCATGGGCTAATAATAAACTTTCCTCAATAGGTGGGTAAGAGCGGCAACGTACCAGCAGGCACTACTGTGGACAGCACGATCACACATCCTTCTGAATTTGACTTTTACCTCTGTAGCCATGCAGGAATTCAGGTAATGTTTCAGCTCTGCTGTGCTCAGGCTACGGGACTAAATCCTTATAGTTGTCCCGATAAGTAATGTTGCTTCTATTTATAGCTTGGCAGACTTACAGTCACATCAGTTTGGTGCCCATTTGGCACTTACTTGTCAATGCACTGATAGAAGGTACAGCCTTCAGGTGCGACCTCTGTTTTTATTGATGTTCTCTAGCTGACTGCTCATCTGTTCTCCACAGGGAACCAGCCGGCCCTCCCACTACCAGGTCTTGTGGGACGACAACTGTTTTACCGCAGACGAACTACAGCTTTTGACGTATCAGCTGTGTCACACGTACGTCCGGTGTACGCGATCAGTCTCTATTCCAGCTCCTGCATACTATGCCAGGCTGGTAGCGTTTAGGGCCAGATACCATCTTGTGGACAAGGATCATGACAGGTAAGGAACTGTGCCTCATCATCTTGGTAGCCAGATAACAGACCTGAATTACATACTGCTTGGCCCAATTGTTCATGGTTCTGTGTATGTGTCTGCATTTTTACAGTGCTGAAGGCAGCCATGTGTCAGGACAGAGCAATGGCCGCGATCCTCAGGCTCTGGCAAAGGCAGTGCAGATCCACCATGATACTCAGCATACGATGTATTTTGCTTGAGAGCATCTGGGAAGATGAGGCAAAACCAACAACCCATGCAGTCCTGAAATGTTTTGAATGCCTACTGCTATAGCTAGGGCCCAGTTTATTTCAGACTGCCCACTACCAGCAGCTCTGAACAGTCGCACTGAATCTGTACTTCACAGCAATGTCTGATGCACCAACACAATTGAGCCATTTGTTTCATTGTTTTATGTCATAGAAATTCATAGACTGTCTTTTCTGATGCATTGGACTGAATTTTTACCTCAAAGCGCAAAAGGCCGATCATCCTGAAATTTTTAAAGGACTTGGCACGAAAGGTTTCTATTGAATATTTTGCTAGCTGTTGTTTTTAAGTTATCTTCTCATCCCATTAGTTTATCATGATGACTGATTCCCTGTCTTCATGCACTGCTTAGTGAGTGTGCATATTATGGCAAAATGTTTTACTCCAGTTAAATGTAATTGTTCTATTGTGTGGGGCCATAGATTTTTTAACGGAGATTTTAGACTTCACTACTGTAAATGCCTTTTAACAAACATAACTTTCACAGGTATTGCAGTTTTTTGTCAGTTTTACTAATTATCTTTTTAATCTCTGCAGACTTCGGCTGCAAAGCAATTGCACTATACTGCGAGTTCAAATAGGTGGTTCTTGTTCTGTGAATGTGTAATATAACCAGATAGTGATGCCTGTCAGTACATTTTAATTATAATGGTTACAAATAATACTGCCATGGTATCGTAACAAGTACTGAACCATCATTTTCCCCCTCTAAAAATGATAAAAACAAAAAAAAAAAAATTAGCTTTTAGGTATTTTGCAAACTTTTACAAAAGTGCCCACTTTATGCTGCTGTGTGGTTTGATAAATCTAAGTGATTTTAAAACTTTTTTCTCATAGAAGGTTTAACTTTGGCAATAAATATTTGTTTTTTAAGCCCCCCAACAGTGTAATTTTCTAGCTGAGGATTGTGCATGAGTTTAACCAACATTCTCGTGTCGTTTTCTGAACACACAATTTGGCAGTTTCTGAAACTAATTAGAAAAGACGCACTTCCATGCTTTTTTTAAGAATTATTTTTAACTGTTTTATATTCACTGTTGGTGTCCTGTCTACAACATTTTTTATAAGCTTGGAAACTGGGTGTTACGTGTAGGAAAGGCTTGCCAATCTGTACAGTCTAAATGTATTGTGTGACAGGCAACCTAAGGACTTGTACCAGCATTTTAAACTTTTTTTTCCCTGGGAATCTAGGTTGCACACACAACTGCATTCAACAGCATGTTTAACCAATGTAAGTCTCATATACTGATTCTGTCCCAGCCTAGAAATTAGGATTTTTTCAATCTGCTTGGCTTTTTTCAGCTGAAATGCGTAATAAAGAACAGGGGCTTGGTTTCACTGAATGCTCTTGGAATCCACAAACATAGTATGTTAATGCTAGATTCCTCTTAGTGTTAACCTGAGTTAGCACAGATTAAAAGCTTATTCCTAAACTGAGTAGAGCCAACACCACTACTTTGATGACAGAAGTTTGAGAAGTCCAGCGATTGCACTGTGCTCTCTGATACTCGTGTGGGGTTTGCTGCTAAGTTGTCTGCTGTTCCAAAGCTTAGGAACCAGCCCCCTCAAAATTTCAGCAATATGAAATGCTGTTTCCTTCAGTCTTTAAGCTTGTAAATAAATTAAAGTTTACATTTCTAAATGCTGGGTTTTTCAGTTGTACCAGAGTACACTGAACTTAAGTCTTCAAACAGTTTTATAACCTTCTTTCAAGTAGTACGTCTCATTGAATTAAGTTTAAACTTTTTTCATTTCTGTTGAAACTGGGACTGAAGTGAACTCTGCTCCTGGCACGTACTGTGGACAGGTTTAGATTTGGAAAAAAAAAAAAAAAAAAGATTCTTTTTAGTTTTCTTAATTTTTTTTAAAGAATACCTCACTTGTGTAATAAAATCAGGACACGTGGGTGGGAGACTGACCGCTGCTTCAGCTAGATGGCTGCTTTTCTCAGTACTTGTTCAGGGAGAATACAAAAAAACCCCTTTTTAGAATGAACTCTGACTGACCCAACACACGTGGAGAACTTTGGCACCTTGAAAAGAAACTGAGCACCCTTTTTAGGTTATAGGATCAAAGATCGCTATTTTGAGTTTGTGCACTAGGCAAGAATGTGACTGGTTTATCAAGGGTGCAAAGAAATGCTTAATTCTGTCACCAGTTAGTTAGTTGTCCAGTGCCAAGCACTCCTAGTTCAGATTGAGTGAAGTGAGAGCCTCTCCTTTGTTTGCCTGTGACTGGACTGAATATTTAACCTCAGACTATGGGGATTGTTAGACCTTGGCTAGCCCTGGGATGCAGGGCGAGGACCTTAACTCAATCTTGTGTTAAAACACCACTGTAGAGAAGCACCACTAAGGGTGCAGTGCTGTCACTTTGGGAGAAGAGCACTGAAGTTCAGGACCGTTGCGTGGTGGTAACGGTAAGATCAAAGTTTCGGCAATGCTGTCCTACACAGGTCTGAGCCAAGTCTGGAGGTTGGGCTTGACGATCTGGATTAACCCCTTGGGCCTGACTGAATCGTTATGCATGTGTCAATCAATGGGAAGATGTGCATTCTGTAGATGTAGTTCTTAGGGTGTTTTGTTTTGTTTTGTTTTTTTTTATAAATAAAGCCTGTTGGCCACTGTTTAGCTATGTGGTGTGAAAGATTTTAAATGTAGCAAAGTTTAAAGAGTTGGGAAAGGGGGTGGTTGACATTTAAAAAAAGAAAAAAAAAAAGGGGGGGGGGGGGGGGGGACAAACCC